TGCAGCCTGTACAAGAGAACAAGTAACCTGGCCTACAGCTCTTTTGAGGCATGGTGGCACTATTTTGAATCAAATTGCTTCGGTTTTCACCAGAAATATTTTGGTTTGAGATGTTCATATTTGTTGGGTATACCCCTCCCCCCACAAAGAGCAAACAATTTTTTCGGCAGCAAGTGATCCACATGCTTTTTTTCACTGGTAAAATTTGTCTCAAATTTTGAATTTAGCTTTGTCTTCCAGCAATGTGCTTTTGTTTTACCTTTCTCCATTAGATAAAGAGCCCCTAATACTTGGTATTTTATCCCTGTCACTACCTCCTTATGTAGAATACTTAAGGATTTATCTTGGGACATGGATGTCTGTACAATTGCACTTTGGCCCCAGGATAAAATAGTTTATACCAGAGTAAATGTAATATCTGTTTGGAGTCTTGCTGTAAGTATTTTTCTGCTAGCCATGAAATAATTTTTGTGGCTCTTTTCTGCGCAATTTTTCAACATATTTGAAACCCAAACACTAGAACTGTATTCAGGATTCCCATATTTGGAAAACCATTGTAGAGATAAAATCACATCCTAACTCAGTTCACAAATCCCCTGTTTATGCACCCAAGAATTTCATTAGTTGTTTTTGCTACAGTGTTACATGGAAGGTTTACAGCGAATTGCTTGTCTGTCAGGACTACTGAGTTCCTAATTGTGTAACTTTGCAAAGGATTCTATGCTAATTCACTTTGTTTGGATAGACCCAAACTACCAAATACTTCAGAATAACAAAAACATCCCGTTTCTTCACAGTACTTTAGTATCAAAGTGAACAGCACATGTTAAGTGACTGTTGCCCTCATACTGATGGAATTCTGATTTGGGGAAACTTCATCTGTCTACAAATAATTGTTTTATTAATGACATGGTTGACCATGTATTTGAACATGTTTCATGAAGATCATGTTTGTTTCACATCTTGCTGAGCTTGAAAGGGCATTGTTAGACAAAGGTTTACATAATTGTACTAAATCATGCCTTGAAATGTGCTTTTCATTAAAGCAGCATTAATATTAATAACAAAACATTAATTTCAGCAGCACACTTCATCAGGATGTTGAATGGCAGAAATTTACAATGGTACTCGGATATATAATGTTACAAAGAGGAGAATGTATGCCAACACTGGGATTTGTTAGCTCAGATTGACTTCTTTTTTCCTAACACATTAATTTGTGACTCAGCAAGATTATCTAAGACTCTTGCTTTTCAGTGGAGAAATCCCCTTTAACATGCTTTGTATCTTAAGTGTTTTTTCAACTCAGTGCTCATTGAGGGCACACCCAGACCAGCACACACGCGATTTGCAGCATCACAAACTGCATGCCCCGCATATGCAGGCATTCTCCATGCTGCTAGCTTGCAGTGCAGTGAGTTTTTTGACATTGGGAGATCCCAGTGTGAGAGAAACCTGTGTCAGAAAAATATGGGGTGGCCCATGTGGCAGCAGCATGTACCACCTGAAACTGGAGGTACGTCCGGATTGCTGCTGCTTGAGCACCACGAGGTCCCCATGACCCCAGGTGCTGGCCCCAGCCTCCCCTACCCTATCCAGAGGCATTTTTCCCCACACTAATCCTGTGTGCAGGAGTGTGCACCTGGGCAAAAAGCCATGGCACAAATGTGTGTTGCTTTCTTCAGCACGGCAACCTCGTGTCCCTGCCTGTGTGGTTGTGGCCTCTTGGTAAATCTCATCCTTTGTACGGTGAGCCAGCATGAAGGATACAGGACTTCAGTGGTACAATGGTCCCCTGCTGGCCTATTGTTCAGGGAGGGATTTTTTAAAACTTTTTTTGAAAAACTAAAGAAGGTTGATATCATTTAAACAAACAAAATAAAAACATTGTCAGCATAACCTATCGGTCTAGGTCTTTATTTCAAAAAGAGAGAGAATGTTAGCTATCTCTGTAGTTAAGCACACACTGAAGTGCTTTGCTGAGTGAGGATCTTGGGATGGGATTTTCAAATGTGCCTAAGTGATATAGAAGCACAATTTATCTTTGAAAATCTCACCCTTAATTTAGAATTTCCTGTTGCTGTATGTTTTTACTGGAATATCTCTGTTTTAAAATGAAAGAGATTGAAAATGTGTCTTACTTTACCAGGTTGTCTAGGGACAATGAAGAAAGATGTGAATGTATGAAAGTGTGTACCAGATCTTACCCCTCAGCATGTAAACTGAACCAAAAGAGATTGATTCCATAAAATTATAAAATAAATTGAGAGAAATAGCAGGGATTTAAGATCCAGTACATATTTCTCTACAATGAAAATTTAAAATCTAAATTGGCATGAAATAGTGCTGTAGACAATGTGATAAAATGAGTGATAGAACTCAATAATGTTCTCATTAGTCCTGTATTGCTCTTCCTTCCTTTTCAACTTGAATCCTAACATGTTTTTTTGTTGTTGCTATTTTCAGGTACCTGTAATGTATGTGTGATATACTACTGTGTTGACGGGCATACTAAGGAACTTTTGATCTAAAATACATACTCTTAGGACACGTCTACAGGAGACAAATTAATGCACATTAGCCTAATTTAATGAGCATTACAGGTGCACCCTTGATGTGCATTAAAAATGGCAAAATTAGGCTACTCACTCCTAAATTGGATACCTGCAAATGCAGGTATCCAGTTTAGGTAAAATTAGCTAAAGTTCATTAATGCACATGTAGACATGATCCAGAACTAACTTTAGTGCTGGGTCTGCCCAGCTGCTAGGGGCACATGGCAGGGCTGCAGGGACTTGGCATTAACTTTAGTATGAAGTCCCTGCATGGGTAGACACCTGCTAAAAACCACTTAATGCACATTAAATTTAGTTGTGCTTAAATGCAAATGTAGACATGCCCTTACTGTGACGGCTGTAATGCACCTTGTGGGTTTTATAGTACTTCTGATCAGAGGAAGGTCATCCCAATGATCTAAAACCGAGAGCAGATCAAATCACAGAAAAGTTCCCATTTCCATGATGGCTACCATTTCTGCCAACACCATGGATTCATCTAGAGACTTCCAGAGACTCAAGCATGAGTATGTATAGGTCAAGCTATAGAACCAGGCTCAGTGGAGGATGTGGGGGAAGAGGTACAAGAGAGTAAAAGTGGCAAGTTGTCATTTTGCATTCTGCAGGGATTCTTCTCCATTTTGGAAATGAGAGGATTATAAAAATTTTCCACAGAAAATAAGTTTTAAAAAATCCATTCGGAAATAGCCAAAACATTTCATTTTGAAAATTTTGAAATTAAATACAACCTGGAGACTTAAATTCTGATGCTTCCAGCTTATCCTTGGGAACCCTGCTTGTGGTTTGGGGGAAATTTGTCAAAGCCAATGCATATTCCACAAAAGGCTTCAGCTTGGATGAATTGATTTTTTTTTTAGCTTATGACTGTTCATCAGAAAAACTCCCAACTAGCTTTAGAGGAGAGTATAAAATCTCATGAGCTTATAGTCTAAGGAGATGAAGCCAAATTATGTAGGCAGCAGTACTGTGTCTGAGGAACAACTGTGGAAGCTATCTAGTGCTGATATCATTGTTGTCGTCATTGGCATTTTGGTGATCTTTCAGCCTAATTTTAGTTTAAAATGTAACAGTATTGCTTAATATAGCAAGTTTGAATCTGAGGCTTTTTAAAATGCTAGTGATGGGGGTTGAGTTGTCCAGATGATTGATAATGAAATGCTTGAAAGTATGTGAAAAATCTACCTGCCAGTGGTGACTGAAAAGATTTGACAGGGGAGTAAGAGAGCCTACAACATAGATTTCTACAGACTTCAAACTTTTTGTTTGCTAAATGAATGAATACTCTTGCTTCAGCTCTGGATTTATTCCAATGTCACTGCATCACCATATAACCTGAGTGACACAGTTATGAATCAGGCCCTTAGTTTCTAGCCCGTATGCCTGACACAATAATTTTTCAAATGTGAATGGATGCCCTACTGTTTTCCTAAGTCTACAGGTAGGTAGTACCACTGCTCATAGCAGTTCCCTTGCTATAGTGAAATGATAACAGGACTTTACCTAGCTTTCCTTGAAAGGCATCAGATTTATCAAGCACTGTCATTCATTCACTGTTGCCATGAAACACCCTCTTAAGACATTACTGTGGAAAGAACTGCTTTCCTTTCACCTCCCTGCAGTTTATAAGGCAGGTGCGGGGGTGAGGGAGGGGTCTGGTTTTTCTAAGGGCAATGTATTGGTAACATTGCAACTAGCCCCTGGCCTTTATTTTTTAGTAGTTGGCTAGTAAGTGTTTTAGTGAATTTTTTCAAGCCCTGCTACAGTTTTTGTATTATTATTACAGGTCTGAAATTGGGCCATGTTGCTGTGACCAAATATTATATTCTGAGCTGGCTGGTTGGGGACCTCAGTCTGATTTTCTAGTGTATAAACTGTGTCACAGAAACATCAAGTGCTACAACATGTGGCCAACTAGTCTGAAGCAAGAGAAGGCCAAAACTGAGCTGACATCAAACTAGTCTCTCTACCGCTTCCTGGTCAGAGTGGCTGAAGTATGAGGAAGACTGAAAGTTTATCAGTTCTAACCATAATAGCATGAAATAATTATTTCCAGAAAGGAATATGCAGGGAAGGTTAAATCTTCTTAAGGAAGTGTAAATAGCTGCCCTGCTGGTGGTGTCAAGAGTCCTAGCAACACTGCTAACTGCATACATTGTGATTTTTCTCTTTTTGCACATAACCAGGACACAGATGGCATTCATTTACACTACTGGTCACTGTTTGATGGACATGCTGGATCTGGGGCAGCTGTTGTAGCATCTAAACTGCTTCAACACCATATTGTGGAGCAGCTGCAGGAGATTGTGGACATCATGAAGAACAGTGCAGTTCTTCCCCCAACCTGCCTAGGAGAGGAGCCGGAGAACATGATGGCTAACAGCAGAACTCTGACTAGGGCTGCCTCCTTGCGTAGTGGGGTTGGGGCTCCAGGCTCACCCAGCACCCCTCCAACACGCTTCTTTACAGAGAAGAAGATACCGCATGAATGCCTTGTTATTGGGGCCATTGAAAGCGCATTCAAGGAAATGGTAGGTATATTCCAAGGTTGATTGCTTGTTATTTTGTTTAATGAACCAAGTAGGTTGGAAGAGATGAATTTCTTTTCACTTGTTCTTCCATTTCCAATTAGATATTTATCTGGGCTCTTCACAATCTTAATGCACTTATCTTCACAGTTCCTTTGGAGATAATAATAGCACTTATTCTATTTTGAAGATGAGGAACTGAGTCTATATGACCTACCCAAGGTCACACACACATGTAATTGAATGCCATGCCTCCTAAGTTCCAGGCTGCTGGATCATCCTTCATGTCACATTGTTGCCCAACCTACAAAAGAGGCTTTTAGAAACTTGCTTAAAAAAAAAAAGGAAGTGTGTCAATGTCCACAATAGTTTATTTAAGTTTCCAGTAGTTAGATAAACTTGTAACAAAATCTGTATTATCATTTATTAAAGAAAAAGTTAAGCATGGTCTTCATAGCCTTCCTCCATAGACTGATGTGGGAGGACATCTTACAGTAGGGTTGTCTGGATCAGAGGAAATGCACTTAATTCAGTGACCTTTGTTCGTAGTGCCCATGAGGAAAGGAGCAGTGACAGTGGAGGCAACTTGCATGGTCACTCTGTACCCTGGTCCATCATTGTAAAAGTAGAATTCAGTCCATCCTTATTTCACTTGCCTGTAGTCTGAATATTTATGATGAAATCCTGGACCATTGATATCACTAGTTACATTTTTATGCACTTCTGTGGGACTAGGCTTTCATTCTTGAAGGTTTATAGTGATAAAAAGGATTCTGCTTTGTGTGTTCCAGCTCTGCAGACTCTTGCCACTGTTTAATTCCCCCCAACTTATGAATCAAAAGATAATTTATTGACTCACTGTAACCGCAGACTCAGCCTGGGAAATAGGATCCACGCACCTGGGTTGTTGCTGCCTCTTGGAGCCCTCCTCAACATAAAGGCTGTCCCCAGAATAAGATTTTGCAGTCAGGACCTGGCAACACTAGTTGCTGATGCTATTAGTTGCTTAGTTATCAGCCTGAGAATGCTCATGTTAATAGTAAAGACTATGTCTGATAGTAAGTATTTGTGGGATTGGCCCCTTGGAAATTACTTGCTTACACATTTTAGAAAAATCATTCTTTTTATGCTGAAAAATTGTAAACAAGTGAGTGTTTCCCAGAGATTTTACTTGCAGGCTGCTAATGTGAAGTACAGAGGTAGTCAGATATGTTTTTTCCTCATACCTGGGAATTAGTTTTAGTGCACACATCTAATTAGAGACTGCAGTAGTTATTCCAACAAAGAATGCTCTCAGTCCCCAAAGCAGCACACAGCTCTTTACAGATTATTGTAGAATTGGCAATATTCACTGCAAAATACACTTTTGAACATTGTTTTGTTATTATTATCATTCGAGTTGCCTAGGATGGGCTGTGTTAAAATTAGCGTTACACAAATTTTACACAACAACATAAGATGTCATAGGGTTGGAAGGGACCTCCAGAGGTCATCTAGTTCAGCCCCTTGCTTGAGGTAAGATCAGCTCTATCCCAACCATCCCATACAAACCATAATCTAAATGCTATATAAGACTGCTGTCAAGCCTGGCACAACACAGACCTAACATCCTAATCTGCCACAGGTAAAGGAGAGGGGAACTATAGCAGCGAACATCCTGCTTTTATGAAATGTCAATGTATGTTCAAGAGATCCCAGATAGAAGGCCATGCCACTCTTCCTCACAGAGGAAAGCAAACTCCCCACAGTGTGTACCAATCTGACAATGGGGTAAAATACCTTCCTGACACTAAGTATAGTAATCAGTCTGATCCTGAGTAGAGGAGCAAGACCCTCTAGCCAGAAACCGTTGGTTTTGGTCCCAACAGGAACGCTGGCACACCCTAGTCAAAGTCCTCAGCTTTGCCTGTAGCCAACACTCAATGTGTCTGAGGAAGGCTTGAAAACATCCTGACACATGTAGCAGAAAGGAGGGGAGGGGCAACTAGCAAAGCCCAGAAGCATGGAAAATGCTTATAATAGAACATAGGCGTATCTATGCCTAGATCATCCCCAACTAGGAGCTGTCCAGCCTCATCTTGAACACCTCTACTGATGGAGAGTCCACAGTTTCCCTAGGCAATCTTTTCCACTCCTCACTGTTCTAAGTGAAGATGTTTTTCCAGCTATCCAATCTAGCTTACTTTGCTGCAGCTTCAAGGCATTGGTCTGCATCCTCTCCGCAGCAAGAGAAAAAAGATGCTTTCCTTCTATATGGCAGCCCTTTAAAGGGCCACTCGCATGATCAGGGGGCAGCAGGGCAGGCCCTATGAGGAGAGGCTACAGGACCTGAACCTGTTCAGCCTCCACAAGAGAAGGCTGAGGGGGGATCTAGTGGCCTGTTACAAACTAGTCAGAGGGGACCAGCAGGCACTGGGGGAGTCCCTGTTCCCCCGAGCACTACCAGGAGTGACCAGGAATAACGGTCACAAGCTGGCAGAGGGTAGATTTAGGTTAGATATCAGGAGGCGCTACTTCACGGTTAGGGCGGCTAGGATCTGGAGCCAACTTCCAAGAAAAGTGGTGCTGGCTCCTACCCTGGGGGTCTTTAAGAGGAGGCTAGATGCACACCTTGCTGGGGTCGTTTGACCCCAGTACTCTTTCCTGCCGTGGCAGGGGGTCAGACTGGATGATCTGCTCAGGTCTCTTCCGATCCTAGAAACTATGAAACTATTTGAAGACTGCTATCATGTTCCCTTTTTAAATGCCTTTTCCATAAGCTGAACTCCTAGTTCCTTCAGCCTGGCTTCTTCAACCTCCTGTCATATGACTTGCTTTCTGAGCCTTATCATCTTTTTTGCCTGCCTCTGGACCCTCTCTAACCTCTCCACATCATTTTTAAAATGCGGAACCCAGGACACAGTACTCCAAATGAGGCCCAACCAGTGCCAAGTAGATGTGCTATCACCTCCTGGGTCTTGCACCTGAAACTTCTTTAGATGCATCCCAAAACCATGTTTGCCTTTTGTGTAGCTGCAGTGCATTGCAGACTCATATTGAGTCTGTGGTCCACAAAGACTCCCAAGTCCTTTCCTATAGTGCTGCTGTCCAGCCAAATGTCACCCATTTTATATTTGTGTTTTTGTTTATTCCTGCTAAGGTTGTAGTACCTTGCATTTTTGTCCACATTGAACTTTATCTTGTTAGCTTTAGCCCAACTTTCCAATCTGTTGAGGTTCTTCTGAATTGTGCTTGTATCCTCCAACATGTTCACAAGCCTTTCTGGTTTTGTGTCATCTGCAAACTTACTCAAGAAGTTTTCTATGCCAGCATCCAAACCACTAACAAAACATGGTGAACAGCACCAGGCCCACAACAGGCCTCTGTGAGACTCCATTTAAAACCCTTCTGCCATTCTGACATGGACCCTTTGTTAATCATTACCCTTTGCTTGTGGCTATTGAGTCACTTATCTATCTACCTTAGAAAAGTTTTATCTAGCCCAGATTTCTTTAATTTGTTTGACAGGGGGAAAATATGGCCCACAGGCTGGATCCGCCCACCAGGCAATTCCCTCTGACCTGCAGGGCCCTCTGGAAGCCCTGGCCCTGGGCTGCCCCTCTGAAAGCCAGCAGCCCTGAGCTAGGGGGTGCTAGAAACAAGACACCTCTACCTGGCAGAGCTTTTGCCTGGTCACCCCATGGCTCCCACCAGGGCAGGGCCAGGGACTTGCACTATGGGGCTGGGCAAGGCTGGCCCCACTCAGTGCTGCCACATGCAGCTCTAGGGAATTGCACACTCCAGGGACTCCAAGGACCCCTCCTCCCCATACATACACACCTGCACCCTCCCACAGTCCCTGCACATACTTCCACAGTGACCATCCCAGGCATATACCCCACACCCCTCCGTACACACCACCACTCCCTAACCACACCCCCACACACATATCCTCTTACCCTTCCCCAACATAATATACAAGAGTAAGATTGTATTTTGAGCTGTTATACAATTGCTTCTAAATGCACTATGCAAGCGCACATAAATTGGGGCAAAAATATTTCTTTAAATAAAATTAAAATTATAGTAGATGTTTGGGGGGGTTGTTTTGTTTTTAAAGCAGAAGATTAGTTTGTTTGTTTTTTCTGGTTTTAAGATGGCAAACCTCTCTTCCCAAACGGAGTGCTTCTGGGGCAAGGGGAGGGACTGCTGGTGTCAAAGGTCAGGGACTAACGGGTGGGACTTCGAGTGCCCAAGGTGGTGTCAGGGGGCAGAGCTACTGTTGTGGCCCTCGGCAGTTCCTCAAAACTTGTTAAGCAGCCCTCCAGCTGAAATAATTGCCCACCCCTGGTTTATGAAAAGGTCATGCAGGATTTTGTCAGAAGCTTTCTGAAATCCCAATACACTATATCCACAGCATTTCCTTCATCCACCCCAGTACTGTTAATTTCTCAAAGAAATAGATCAAGTTTGTTTGACATGATTTGTTTTTCATAAATACATTCTGGTTGCTTGTGATCAGCCTTTCCTCCTCAAGATGTTTGCAAGTGGTGTTCTTTAAGATCTGCTCCAGTAACTTCACAGGTATTGAATTGTGGCTAACTGGTAAGTAGTTACCTGGGTCCTCCTTCTTGCTTTTTTTTAAAGAGGGACATAATGTTGGCCCTTTTCCAGTCCTCTGGTATTTGGCTTATCTCCCATAATTTCATGAAGATCATTGCCAAAGGCTTTGAGATGTCCTCTGCCAGTTTCTTCAGTACCCTGGGATGAAGTCCATTTGGCCCTGCTGATTGCAATTAATTCAGACACAGCAAAAGCTCTCTGACTGTCTCTTTCTCTTGTCCTTCATCTTGCCCACTTCCTTATCCAGGTAATCCTTATTAGGCATCTGGCTGCAGCTTAATTTTTTTGTGAAGACTGAGGCAAAGTAGCTGTTGAGTAGATCCTCCTTCTTTGTATCTTCGGTTAGGAGTTCCCCATGGCCTGTTAACAGAGGACCCACAGCTTTCTTGATCAGTCTTTTC